ACCAAATTAGAGCAATAAAATCAATTTCAGATGTATTTTAAATACAGAGTCATCTATCGCCGGAAGCGGAACTACTTATCTGTTTCACAATTATTGAATCGAAATTCGTTTAGTGCACAGTACATCACGAGATTTGAACTTACATATACTCGTAGTTAATAGTATATCTGGAACCTTCACCAATCCAGCATTAGCCACGGATTCGTTAATAAATCCAATTATGATGACTTTAGTAACTGACAATATCATATTAGAAATTGTATGCGTTATACATTTTGTAAATATTATAACAAAACGTGACTAATAGTCAATCACATTTTATATCATATTGTACTACGTATTTTGTAGTAAGGTGCTTATAACAGGGTTAAAAGAATTACTTCTCAAAAAGACAAAGGAATAGTCACTTACTTGAAAACAATATCGTACAATGTACATAATATAGTCGCCATTGATTTGACTTAAAATTACTTTACTTTTGTACAAAAATCTAAAATGTATTCAGCTAGCTTAGATTTAAATTGATTAAATGAACTTACATTTATAAAGATGACAGTAACAACTTATAAAGCTGTACTCCTTCGTATGTTATACACATATCTCTTTCCACTCACTTTCGGCACAACTATTAACTTGCTCGCCGAGTGCTGCGTTTATAAATCTGTAACTTTACAAGCGACATGTTATTGATGATTTGTTTTGTTGATGATTTTTCTAATTATAAAACATGTACTGTAGGCATATAGTTGATTAATAGTCATTATTTTGATTTTATTGTAGATAATGTATTTCCTCTCACCTTAATTTAGTTACCTCTCACCTTAATTTAGTTAACAGTTTGCCTCACAGAAATTTTAGCTTTAAACTTCTTACCACTCGTAATATCAATTTATCGATTAGGGTTTCAATCTTCTTAATTTATGTACTTGACAACTTTTCAGGCTGTAAATGAACTTATCGATTTAACGATTAGATGATCTAACCAATTTAATGGTCAGCTGTGCTGCTTTCATGTCTGTAAGACATGACTGATCTAACCAATTTAATGGTCCGCTATGCAGCTTTCATGTTTGCAAGACATGAATCATCTAACCAATTTAATGGTCAGCCGTAGTGATTTTATACCTGTAACACTTCAATGATCTAACCAAATTAATGGTCAGCCGTGGTTCTTTTATATCTGCAAGACATCAATGATCTAACCAATTTAATGGTCAGCTATGCAGTTTTCATACTTGTAAGACATGAATCATCCAACCAATTTAATGGTCAGCCGTGGT